GGCGGTTTTTCATACTTTTTTTCTTCCCCACTAAAGCAACTAGCGCAATGCACTCCTGTTTTTGAACTCCGTTACCTACTGTGTGTAGTCGCAGCAAGTGCCTTTAATATTTACCACAAACAATAGTTATTTTCGGGCGAAGGGGCCAAGGATGAAAGACCCATTCCGCCATTATCCGATGGGTAAATCTCTTCTTCGCATAGGTCTCCCGGTCCGCTTTCACTGGAGTTGTCCCGCTTTTAAGGCCGCATAAAGCGAAGGTGAGCTACTCGTAGAAGCAGTCTCACCCACTGGCGTATATTCTGGGAACGTGAAATGCCGGTGGGCCTGTGTAAACGATGTTGAGACGCATTGCTTTCATTCTGTCTAGAAATGACCTTTGTGGTCTCTTTCGTTTTCCAGCTCTCCTGCTCACTAGTCCTTTGTCTCTGGTCTCTCGCCTGTATAGCATTGTCTCGCTCCTCGCAATACTCATGCAGTCCTGAGGATTCTTTTAGGGCGTTTTCGGCAGTAGTGCCCGCTCTTTTCTTATCTGGCAAGTTGATTGGCATCAGTTCATATTTGGGCAATAAGCCCGCAGGCCGAAGGGCCGTAGTGGTTCCACCTGGGCTACAAGCCTTCTATCTCCTCGAGGACAGCAAGTTGATGTCAGAATTACTTGGGAAGATAAGACACAGGCTTGCACATCGGTTGTCTTCCGCCCAGTCGTGTAGTACATATCTCATTCAACATACTACGAACCTCAGCGGAAGTAGAATGTGTGACGGGTCCGACAAGGGGTGAATCGCCGCTGTAACCTGTCTTTTATCCTTTTATTCAACGGTACTCACGCAGCATCGTTGCAAGTAGGAAACTGTGCAGCTTTAGAATCGGTGATCCCATAGCTTTTCCTCTTTGCTAGTTCTTTTCAGCGCTTTTATAAACATCTGCCTCACTGTGAAGCACTTATGACCATTAAGTTCACTTCTCGTATACTCGAGAATTTAATCACGGGTACTTTAGTGAATTTCATGGCTCTAAGTGAGAATTCTTCTTTCAGATCGGTGGAATAGCTCCTATGCCACGTTCTCTGCACACAGCTAATCTGATAGGTCAAAGGATGTATATCTACGGTGGCTGGGTAGGCATGCTGTTGCTCGATATCCAAAATTATTGCTCGGTTAAGGTAATGCAGTCTGTCTTAGGTTCCAATGCATGACGAAAACCATGAAGGTGAAGTAAAGGAATGGAAATGTACAAGTGACCTGTCATGCCTCAACCTTGAGACAATGGTCTGGGAAAGTGCCTCACATGTTTTTGATGGTATGGACCTTTTAGTTGTTGTTGACCTGAACTTCTAGACTTATAGTCGGTTTTCAGAAAATATGCCAAGAGCTAGAGCAGGGCACTGCTCTGCTGTGATAAATGATAGGATTTATATATGGTCAGGAAGAGACGGATATCGGAAAGCATGGAATAATCAGGTTTTTACCGTACTCTTCTTGTTTTTTTTTCAATGAAATTCTTTCCGCAATTTGCAGACTATTTGTAGTTCTTTCCGCAATTTGCAGACTATAAGTATTTTGAGACAAGAACAAACTCCAATGTCTAGAATGTTTTAGTTGGGGAATCAGGTGTTGATGGGCTCGGTTTTGTTCCCGTTGAAAGAACACGCGTTTCAATCGAGTTTTTCTAAATGTATTACTTGTGATCGGTCGCTTGGTTGTTCTTTTGCGACTTGCTTCATGAAGCCAAAAGGACATTTGCATGGTCACTGTAGGGACAGATATGTTGGTTTTGAAGCGGTGAGCCAATCAAGGCACGATGTTCGCTTCTTTGAGAAGTGAATTCTTCCCGTGTTTGGGATGGGTAGGACCACAGCAGTAGTTTTGTGGCATAACCACCACTTCGAAAATTGCGCAGCAGTGGAACTAGAGGCGTGTGGTAGCTTCATGTTCTATACATCTTCACCCAACATTCTGTACGCGATACGCACCCATAATCACGTCGCAAGCCATACACACAACGTCAACATTTCTTATCATGAGGAGTTCATTCATAACCAAAGCGCCACATCGTTTCCCAAAAGCCCGGCATGTTTGTGATTATAGAAAATCCTGTTCCTACACCTATTGTGCACACCGTACATCTTTAACTGAGAAACTATGATTCCTGTCTTCATTATTTTCAAAGTGGCTTTGCAGGTGTGCTGTAAAGATATGTGGTATTTGGAGACGTCTGTACCGGGAACACCATCCCGCGTTCAGCTGGTACGAGCGAGTGTTGCTGGACTCGAGGTTTGATCATTTTCTGCTTAAAAGCCTTTTGGAATCCACTAAGCTTATCAGAGGATAAGGCTTACTCTACCACTACTGGTGGGCATTCCGACTTTCAACTATTATTCAGGTCTCATGGAGCGCTCTACCAACTGCTGAAGCATATCTGCTTCAGCTGCACAAGTATGATTCTATTCTACCTGCTCACAAAATATTGGATGACGACGGTATAGCCTAATGGTTTTGAATTCATTCTCACACCTAATTTTCTCAGTCTTCGTTCTCTCAGCTTCTCGACAACTCACCTCACTTGGCAAGGGGCCATTGTCGTCGCAAAAGATGATGTTGCAGAGAGGAACACCGTCTGGTGTCATGAAGGTTAGCACTTTCCGATGAGTTCAAAGTCTTGAGTAGTGATTTGCTTTTCCTATGATGAGCTTTCATTACATCGAAATAGCCAGTTATATTTCCCGACTGCATAATGGACTTATCGGCAGAAAGTCATTCTTGGATAAGTTCAAAGTCCCCTCTCAAGAGTGTTTGTGGGGTGGTGAAATATTATGAATTTGGCTACTTTCTGAAGAAGTCCGCAGCGGCTTTAGCGTCTATAGCAGTTCGTTCCGCGTTCATCTTAATTATTTTTGACACCACTGAAACAGCGCGGAGGTTATTGACAAGTTATATTATTTTGGCCGCGAAATTATCTCTCTTCAGAGTGACAAAGTAATTGTATTCTTACCATTTTGGTTCTTCTTCCTCCAGGTGCCAGCCGTTTCTCGGCGGCTTACTTACGTGCTTCTAGTCGTATTTTCTCGTGAAGTATATTAGATAGCGCTGTTTAACGCTGCGGTTCGCGCTCGAGGTTATCACAAGAATGTCGAGTTATGGGCGAATGTCTTGACCCAGGCGGGACTTGAACCCACCCCTGACGCTTGTCAGACGCTTGCACTATCCGATGCGCCACCAAGGCCAGCAGAAACTGCATCCTTCTCAGGAACTATCAATGTGATCGTGCTCTGCCAGCACCATTCGCGCTAATATTACTGACGTGATTTTAGGTCATGCGTGGTGCAGGACCAGGACAACAGATTGTACGAGTTGTAAGGCAAGTACCTGGAGTACCTGGTGCTGCTGTTAAGCGCAGTGAAACAGGGAACAGAGGCCAAAAGCGATATTCTTCTCGAAAGGAGGTGCCCAACAGAAGTTAGTACTCTTCTGATTATTTCAACCTTTTCATATATTGTTACTTTTCTTCATTATTCTGTCTTATTGGCACACTATTTTTTTATTGGAGAGGTAGGTTCCTTCCATGTTCAAGGTGAGCAAGTTCGCAGCCGTAGATGAATACCACTTTTGTCTGTAGGAAGTGTGTATAACTGAAGCTGGAGGGTGTGATAACCGACCATGCAAATGAGCAACCCATTGACACACAACACGCCGCACAGCCATACACGTGCCTTGCTTGTCTGCGCCCTCTCACTTTCGATCGGGGCAACATCGTACTCCACCACTCGGCATCGGCAGCGTCAATACGCCAGACCACAACGTGA